ATCTACAATACGAGAAGAAGAAGAAGAAGAAGAAGAAGAAGAAGAAGAAGAAGAAGAAGAAGAAGAAGAAGAAGAAGAAGAAGAAGCAGCTAATATCAAGGACGCAGGATTCGCGAGTTTTGCATGAGCGACATGCCCATCATCATGTTTGACAAGAATGAAGACTATGTCGTGCTAACTGTTGAAGAGGTATGTTCATTGTTCCACACGGCCTCGTTTTACTGGGCGAGTTTTTGTGCTGATGGCTTTTGATTGTCTAGATTCTGCCCATGTCTTTTGGTCCGGACCAGCTACCCCCCGCCGGCGCCCCCGGCACATGAGCTAGTTGTCTCTTGTAGGTTGGAGCTCAAATCAAGTAGTTTGTGAAGAAGCACATGGTAGCAAGGTGTTGAGGTGTTTGAATAGTTGATGAGTTTTCGACATGGGGCGACTTTTGAGTATGGTAATCTTGAAGAGCATCTAGAATCTCGAGAGATGATGGATGTATACCAGGAATTACAATTAGGATCAAGATTTAATTTCATATTGTTTTACAAAGTGTGAATCCGGTGGTAAGTCAACACTCTAATCACTCGATATAAGACCTCTCGATCTATTGGAGCACGGTGCGTTGAAATTGTATATTCAATGGGACTGTTGAACAGGGCTTCCTGCGTGCTCAGCACGAATGCCCTGCCAACAACGCTCTGTGCTAGCATAGCATGTCTCGGAGGCACAGTAAAGGGTATCGAATCAATCATTCGGGGGAGTGGACTGCTCGCACCAACGTCCCAGCATAAACAGGAAACCATGTCAAGATGAAAAGAGCATGAAACATGCAAAATGAAAAACAAATAGGCCCGCTCGGCTAATCGTCAAAAACTCGTCCTCCTTGTGCGCCAGTAAAGCGTAAAAAGCATCATGCATCATGGTAAAGATCAAGCCTTAAGTCACAGCGTCAATCTTCCCAAATAGTTTCGAGGTCCAGGTCACTTCGTCGTTCGGCACCGCACACGCTCCATCGCTTGCGCTTGTCGCGAGGTCCAAAGGCCAGAGTCCGACCACGTGTCGGCGAGTCGAGGCTGCTTCGTCCTTTGGAGTCGGATGACGAGTCGCTGCCTTCTGCAGCCTCGTTGGCAGCTGCCTGCAACTGCGCTTGGCGCTCGGCCTCGAGGGCTGCCTCTTCAGCGTCTGGAGAATCGGGAATGGTTTCCAAGCTTGAAATGCTTGGGCTTCGTGATCTAGCAGAAGTCGGTGTAGATGGCATAGATGACAGATTCCCGCCATAGCTGTCGTAGCCTCTGTACAAAGGTGAGGAAGCGGTGGAAGAAGGAGTGGTGGGAAGAGCCGTGTAGGAGCCTGTACTAGGGAGTGACAAGTTTCGGAAGGGCGAAGAAGTTCGGCGGTAGCGTGTAGAGGAGGTGGAAGAAGATCTCAAACTGGGCGAGTTACTTCGTTCCGACGATGGTCGGTCTGGTTCCAAGACTGTCGTTCGCACGGGAGACATGGGCGGGAAAGCCTCGTCTGAGGGTTTGCGGGGGGTCCGCCGACGGCTAGGTTCAGCTGGGCTGGTGGGACGCAGCTGGGGCGAGAGGAGGATGTGACCAGAACCATTGACTCCGGGTAGAGAACGTGCCCTGGACATGGAGGGAGCCGAGGTTATGCTCGTGGCAGAAAAAGAGCGAGTATGTGAATTGGAGAGCGGAGAGGCGGTGCGTGGGCGAAAAGGTATGGAGTTAGCCGAGGGCGTCCAGGGATTAGACGAGGAGTAGCTAGAAGGTATAGGATCGGTGCTGCGCCGAGTGGTAGCTGGCTTCTTCATGATGTTGAGGTCGGAAGAGGAGTCGTGGAGGGAGCCCCCGAGGTGTAGAGTCGGCAGCGGCGAAGGACGGAACTCCTCCATACGCTCCGTCTCGGGAACGGGTTCCATGGTGAAGATAAAGGGCTGTCAGCGGTAGGAGAGGAGAAGCTGTAGGCGAGGGTCGGATCGTGGTAGGATTGAAGCGGAAGTAAGTGGGAGTGCAACAGGGGCACAGCAGACAGGCACAAGCCTGGGACGGCAGGTGAGGAGCGCCGGGTCGGGTATTGTACTGTGTAGCACAGGCTAGACAGCAAGCTGGGCTGGTGACAGAAATTCGGGACAAGAGGTCGACGCAGCGACGGGTGTGACGTCCAAAGGTGCCAGCAGCGCCCAGACAGAGAGGCAAACGGGATCCGGCAGTGTCGCAGTGTGGCCAAGCAAACCAAGACGGGCGCGGTGCGTGAAAGCACTGGCACAGCCTTGACTAAGCGAGGCAAGGCGAGGCGAGGCGAAAATCACGGGTCAAGCGGTTGGTAGGCGTTTGAAGACCAACTGGCGCCCCCTCCTTTGGCGTGTCGTGGGCTTGGAGTCGGTGGTGTTTTGGAAGGGCGGAGGCCACGGCGGGCGCGCGGTACGTATGGACCCTTAAATTCGCTTGTCGCAGAGTTTCGCGGGTATAATAAATAAAGAGGAAGAGGAAGAGAGAAAAAAAAAACGCAAGGCCAACAGAGGGCCTGCAGGCTGCAGGAGCTTGAGGAAAAGTCGGCGAGTGTTTGTGGTTTGGGAGAAGAAGAAAGAAAAGGGCCGTGTTGAGTGAGCAAGGCGAGTCAAGTTGAGAGCGAGCGTGTCTGTGGGTTGAGAGAGGTGTCAGCGGTGGTGACTGACGGGTAAGTACCTAGGTACTTGACTGGGGTAACTTGACTGTACATAGGTACAGTAATCAACGAATCCAGTGAAAATAAAAGAAGTGAATAAAGGACCCCCAAAAGATTGGCTGTAAACCCCAGGTTTCTAGCGCCATTACAGCCTATTCGCGGTGAGGCGTTCGATGGGCTACAGTTGTTCGGCTTGTCGCTGCAAAGATGCGGGTCCACACCTTTGTTGATGTGAAATCTGATTTGCCAAAGCCAGTGGCAAGTGGAGAGGAGTCAAGTACCTTGGTACCTCGTCGATTACGAATGCAGACTCGCAGTGGATTCTTGTTGGACCCTTGTTTGCATTCCTGTCAGCTTGTTATCCCGCTTTAACTTGCAAACAGTCCGAGTAAACAATAACAATATCCCATCCTTGATAATAAGTCATCTCTTATTTTTTATTTGTCGCTTGTATCGTCTACTTTATTCATCACAGTGAAGATGCGTCGCCTTCTCGAAAAGGGTTTCCCAACGGTCACTACTTTGTACAACACTCAAATTGGCTTCAATAGCGCCGTAGGTAGTTGTCCGCCTCGACCGCTCGCTCTGGCAAAGCACAAAGGGGAAAAAAAAAACTTACCTAGTTTCGACTGTTACGTGGCGGGCGCGCCATTATTAATAAAGATTGACTGCCTGACACACACCAGGAACCGAGCCAAGAAGCCTGCTGTTCTTATCAATCCCGCAGGTACGCGCTGCCTCGGCCCAGAAGTGGCACACCACTTGACCACCCGAATCATGGTAAGCCCAAGCGCGGGCAGTTGGCCAACTATCTGGGCAAAAGCATATCGCACATGGAATGCACACAGGCCAATTTTTTGTTGTCCACTTGCCATGGACTTTGTTGGCCGAGTTGTCAGCGCTATGATGCGGCACCAGAGACGTACACTCGGCGGGCAACCATGACATAATTCGCTTCATATCAATAGACAAATGATATCCTTTGTAATGCATATATACAATTCCGAGTAACATTATTACAAGTAATATGATAAATCATGCAGGCGTTCCTTGGAATGACTCGAGCCCTTTACGGACCAGTGGGCTTTGAGCCTTTGGGTACACCTGCACGTCACCAGAGACCCACCGCAACGCCGCCCGAGGCTCTTTTTTCTTTCTAATGCTCCGTTCCGTATACCCATGTCCTTTGATTTGTGAATGGGCCCCTCTTACTGGTATGAACTCTTTTTTTTTCTGCCCCGTTCTGATCTCTTGATCTCTTGACCTTGGAAAGCGCCTGCCGCCGTCTCATCTCAGCTGCCCCACCCCCGTCTAACGGCCCCTCACGTTTGACCTGCGCCATCAGATTACAGCACGCCTGTGATATCGATACAACAACTCCCTACGATTTACAAATGATCTAGTCACTAGTGGCAGGGCGCTGTTGGCAGGGCATTCTTTCTGAGCACGCAGTAACTTTTCTTTGACATTTCTCATCTCAAAGTGCCAGAGCTGCCAGTCGTAGCCTCCTGGTAGAATACGCTGGCATCTGTGTAATTTCGTAGCACTTCGCTTTTTTTTTTAGGTCGTGAGGGCTAATCATAGCTCAATTAATCTAGCGAACTGAAAAACTCGGATAGCAACAGCTCAAGAAAAGTAGAGAGAAGATAGTCATTTTCGCACCAGCATTCTGCCAACTCTCCACCGAGATACATTGAGCTGCATCATACTCTTAGCCAAATCAATGAAGACAATAGCAAATTATAAGGAGCAAATCTTAGACGCTGAAATGTTTTGAAAGCCAGTGCTGATTCCAAGACGCATTCGAATTTCTCAAAAGTAGAGCCGCGCCGGTTTGCAGAGGATGACATGAACATCGTGATTCTCTCCGTCGGCATTGCCAAATTTTAACAAAGCAGGCCTGAATACTAGGAATCTGTCATTCGATTTGACATTCGGCAACCGCTCATTCTCAAAATCAGTCGTAGGCCAATCATTCTCGACCGGCCTATGAAACGGCCAGGCTGGGAGGAGAAGAGCCTTGGACGACATGAACATGATGGCAAGTTCCGTGGCGTCGTAAACTGCCACTCCAAGAACCTCCTTGATATCGTTCTGATGAATAGTCTTTGGCTGCGACTGAAACATGGCGAAGATGGACTCTGCAAACTCATCGGCCATTGGCTGCTGGAGCTCTTTGTCCAGCTGGGACGTGCTCGCCTCGCCCCCTTGGGACAACCATAAAGCAAACTCGGCTATTTTCTTCGGATCTTTTTCAGTACCTGCATTACAATTGTTAGTTATTTCAGCGTATTTGGAAGGATGAGTTCTTACTAATGGCTTCTTGCCTCGCCATTTGGAAGAGTTTGAAGATGTTGCCTCTCCACTGGCGGCCTTGTCCGAGGAAAACATGATAGTAGATAAATTCCCATATGTATAGCTCCAAATACCCCTCGAAAATCTCTCTCAAGTATTCCTGTGGTAGATCTTTGAATTCTGCCTCTGGAATTCCCAATCGCAGAATTTCTGGCGTGTCCTTGGCGCCCTTGGGCTCACAGGATCGTAGCATCAAGACAACACTTCGGATGTTGTAACGCAGTGCATTCCACTTGCTCTTGATTGTGTCGTCTGTAACCTTTTCAGCAGCGGATTTCTCTCTCTTTGCGCCCTCTAACATCTCCATTTTCAGTATATCGATTTCTTCGTGGAGCTTCTCTCGCTCCTCCGTCAAACGATTGTCGATGTATTCCCTCTCCTGCCTGAAACGGTCATGGAGATATTGTATCCCATGGGCTGAGTCATTTTTGACGCATTTGATTAGTCGCTTCTTTATCGGCAGTTGATTGTCCTCGTCACATCTCTTAGCGTTGCTTGGGGACGAAGCTGCTGCAACTGGTGTTGTTGAGTCGGATCGTGACAATGGCGGACCACACCCCTTGGCCGACTTGGACGATTGGCTTCTGGTTCTTGGTGCCATTTGGTCAGATCTCGATGTCGTAACAAGGTTAACGCTATCTTTATCGGGTTGATATTCGGTGTCGTTAGATGGCATATCATCCCCTTCGTAGCTTGGTGTAGGAGAGACTGCGCCGCTTTGGAGTTTTCCAGACATGCTCGAAGGGCAAATGCGTCCCCGCCAGCTCAATCGTTCTGTCTTTATACTGACGTTGCTTTCTGGAAGTCGTCTCGTAAAAAGCGTTATATTCATAGTCTGCCAACCTCGATTAAATATTTGAAGGTTTCAACTTGACGTGAACAGAACGAAGAGTCCAACTGCAAACGGTCCGCCCTCGGCAGCACTTCTATTGCATGCCAACAAGCAAACGGCTGCGATATTCACCTCGGGCTTTTTCAAGTGAGCATCATGTCATTGACCACAGAAAAGGAGCATGCAACTGGCATTGACCTCAAGCACTTGTTACTCTGCCTCGCTTCCTCATCTCACGCATCACCCCATAATCTTTTCGTCCGCAAGCTCTACTCTCTGCAACTCTCTGAAATATATCATCGCGTCTTACATTGAGCGTTTCTTCTTCAAAAGTCATACAAATATTCAAGCAAGTCACATTGCTCTTTGCGAGGTCGCCCAGCCACTGTGAAAGAGCGACCGACCAGCATGCCGTCCATCATTACTGTCGGTATCGATTTCGGGACAACGTGAGTGTGTAAATCCTTTTTTCCAAGACTCCATGGTACTGATCCGTGTATAGCTTTAGCGGTGCCGCATGGGCAATCTCGAAGCGTTCGGCCGACATTCACGTCATCACCAACTGGGAGTCCGAGTACAATGGGTGTTCCGATCGCGGAAAATGTCCCACTCTACTTCAATATGGCACCATTGACCATGAGACACCTTGGGGCTACAATGTGCCGGCCGACAAAGATGTGGTGCGGTGGTTCAAACTTTTGTTGCTTGAGGAAGTAGACCTACCCAGCGCCGTTGTAGAGGACCCTCAGTACAGAGAAGTCCGTAAACAGCAAGAACGCTTGAAAGTCTGCCCTATTGAACTTGTGGGTTGCTTCTTGCGATCGCTTTGGAATCATTGCATGAAAAACATCACTCGTGCTCTTGGATCAGACGAGGTCGCCAGCTGCAAGATTCACATTGTGATGACAGTGCCTGCTATTTGGCCACACTATGTCCAGGCTCGTATGAAATCCGCCGCTGGACTTGCAGGTATGCTGCAGGAAAGGAGTACCAGTTCAGCCCTCGAAACGACCTTGGAATTCTTGTCGGAGCCCGAGGCTGCCGCTTTGGCTGCCCTTGCTGAAATGCATCCTCGTCCGGATATCGAGGTAAACGAATGATCTACTCTAGCCGGAAAACTTTTTAACGTTTCTTTTGCAGAAGGGTGACACAATTATTGTGTGCGATGCTGGAGGCGGAACTGCGGTAAGTTCAAGGCATGTTTACTCGAACTGATGCTGACACAGTCGTGGCTAGGATCTCATTAGCTACCAAGTTGACAGAGCGAGCTCCTTCAGACTTCGAGAATGCGTCCCTGGTGAAGGTCGGCTGGTCTATCATTGATCGAATAATGGCGAATGCTGACATGTTTCGCCTAGGTGGTCTCTGCGGAGGCATCTTTGTCGACCAGAACTTTGATGACTTGATTACTCGCAAGATGGGAGGCTCTCCTTGGAAGGGTATTGACTCTGCAGATAAGCGAAAATTCATGAAAGATAGTTGGGAAAATGGCATCAAGTCACAATTTTCTGGTAATGATCGAAGCTTTTTTGCAGAAGTTCCTGAGGGGTATCTGCCAGATGGTGCCATGGGCAAGCGAAAGCGTCTCCAGAGTATTTGTCTCGACAGGTTCGTACTGATGATGAACATTTCTTCTTTACTTCAAGTACTCATATGCGGATATAGAAACGACCTGATTTCGGTTTTCTCGCCCGTCATCAGAAAAATATGTGATCTCGTTAAAAACCAGAAAGACGCCATCAGAAAAAAACAATCGTCGGCCCCGAAGGTATGTCTTTCTTCAACACCTGCAAGTTGTCATCAATGACATTGGGAAATAGTTCATCATTCTTGTCGGAGGCTTCGGCTGCTGCAGATACCTTTTCGATCAACTCGTCGAGGCCTACCCTGACAGCACCATTCTCAATCCTCCATCTGAACAATCGTAAGTTTCTCTTATAAACAAACCAATCGAATGCTTCGATATAAATGCGGAGTACTGTACACCGACGCTGACCGGAATCTTTTTGACGCAGATGGACAGCCGTCTGTCGTGGAGCGGTTAGACACGCCCTGATTCACAAAACGGTTGGCAAGAATGGAATGCGCGCCCCCGGCTTCAAAGCTATAAAGCCCGGAAATTACATTGTTCAGTCACGGATCTGTCGAATGGGCTATGGATTCAGGCAAAACGAGCACTGGGATCCACGCAAACACCGTCCAGAGGACAAATTCTGGGACAGCGTAGAGGAGGTGTACGAAGCGTCAAACCAAATGAATTGGTTCTTGAAAAAGGTATTGTTTTTCCTTCTCATTACCTTTGCGTACTAATCCCAGAATCAGGGAGATACACTAGACGGCGCATCGCATTCTACGCATGAGTTCTATCGACTGCTTACTCCCGGTGATGAGCTAGACATTGAAGAAGAGCTGTATTTCTGCACTTCGGACGTTCTGCCTTTGTGGAAGACGGACTCTGTCAAAGACTTATGCTCGATTAAATGGAACAAGAGAGTTAATCTAGACAAGCTCGAAATGAGCTATACTTTGGCTGGTGGAATTTACTGGAAGCTGAGCTACAAGATTCAGGTGATTGTCAATGGCCCAGAGCTTAGGATTGAGGTTTACCACAACAAAAGAAAGGTTGCTGCGGGACAGGTTACGGTGGAATGGACATGAAGGTTAACAGGAGAAGGCCAGAAGACTGTATGCAGTCACGCATATGTCGAATGGGCTACGGATTCAAGCAAAGAGAGCACTGGTTTTTGCGCAAACACCACCCAGAGGTCAAATGCTGGGACGGCACAGGAAGTTTTGAAAACATGGCAGCTTAGGCAGAACCCTGTTAAGCCTGCTCAGCCCGATCATGCAAGACACGTCAATATTTAGGACAAAACATGCAAGACCAGGACTTAGCTCAGCCACTCGACGCAGGGAAATGGATTTGGACTGCACGGTGATTGTGAAGGGACGGAAGAAACAAACATAGCTCACAAGATAGAATAGCTTAATCGTGCTTCAAATTTATCCGAGAATGGTCAAATTGTGAGACAATTAGAGAATAAGTAGGTGAACGCGGGTCTTCAACACTCCTCAGATGCTGAGAGAGTTTATTCCGCTTGCAGTACCGAGTAGTACACAACAACATGTAATGAAACTGTAACGGCTTCTGTCGCCTTTTGCTTCTTTTCTCGCTTTCATCATATTTTCTTTATTGCCTTTATTTATTGGGTATTGCTTCCCGATTACCACGTATTGATAAAGAAGCAGGTTTTGGCTTTTTGCCGCCGCCGAGTAGCCATCTTGCCTTTGCTGTAAGTCGTTGGGGCGAAATGGAAAATCGGAAATCACATTCATTGTTGCCAATATAGCCAGTTCGTAGCTACCACAGGGTTAAACAATCAAATGCTTTTTTGTTTGTTGCCAGAACATTCATCATATGTCTACACCTTGCTGCGTCTCGTCAAGCACACACGAGCAATCTGGCAGAGCAGAGAGAGTGTCTTCATGTCCTTATGTCTACCATAATCTACTTTAATTACTTGGACCATATTCTTTTTGGAAACCACTGATAAGCCTTGCACACTTACAATAAAAAATTTTTCTCATGCTTTCCAGCACGGCCAAAGAGTGTTGGTTGAGCCTCCTCGTCCCTACAAGGTGCCTGTAACCGCCGCCCCATAATAATTTTCCAGAATCTCGGATGCCGCAAGGCTCCTCAAGCCCTCGTCGCATCCCCTTTCCCAACAACACCTCTCATATAACACAATTCATAGCCTATTCGCCATGGCTCCGGCCGACGAAACACCAGGCGCGACACCACCTCACAAGCGACGCCGCATGCGCGACGCACAATCACCAAGCGGTCGCTCGCCAGACGCGTCGAGACGAGGGCCCGATCGCGGAGACAGCAGCGACTACTACTCCAAGACCCGGGACGACTCGTCGCCGTCGCCGTCGCCGGCGGCACGACGACGGCGCGCTGCATCCGCCTCCAGCTCGGGCGCCAGCACACGGTCCGAGTCGCCCTCCCCTCGACGCGCACACGCAGCGCGGCGGCGCTCCGCATCACGCTCACGATCACCAGCCTCGACGTCTTCGGACCGCACGCGGACAGAGTCCTTCTCACCAAAGCCTGCGCCGCCATCGCCCTCGCAGGAGCAGCAGCAGGCTACACCGCCCGAGCCTCAGGGACGCACGCCGGTGAGGCCAAGCTACAAGGCACGGCTGGCGCTGCACGGGCACACCAAGCCCGTGTCGCAGGCGCGCATCTCGCCAGACGGGCGCTTCATCGCGTCGGCATCGGCGGACGCGACTCTCAAGATCTGGGACGCGGCGACGGGCGCGCACATGGACACGCTGGTCGGGCACATGGCGGGCGTGAGCTGCGTCGCGTGGGCGCCCGACAGCAACACACTGGCGAGCGGCGCCGACGACATGGCGATCCGGCTATGGGATCGGGTGACGGGGCGGCCCAAGACGACGGCGCGCAAGTCGCTGGCGGGCGGCGGTAGCGGTGGAGATATGGCGCCGCTGCGCGGGCATCACAACTACGTGCACTGCTTGGCGTTTTCGCCAAAGGGCAACATCCTCGCGAGCGGGTCCTACGACGAGGCCGTATTCTTGTGGGATGTGCGCGCGGGAAGGCTGATGAGGAGCTTGCCAGCACACAGCGACCCGGTGAGCGGGATCGACTTTTCACCAGATGGGACACTGGTGGCAAGTTGTTCTACAGACGGCCTCATGTAAGTGGGCAGTTATGCAGTTTTTACAGGTTTTGGACAAGTGCTAATGTGCGGGTTGTGTAGTCGTATATGGGACTCGGGAACCGGGCAATGCCTGCGGACGCTCGTGCACGAGGACAATCCGGCCGTGGCCAACGTGTGCTTCTCGCCCAACGGCCGGTTCGTGCTCGCCTTCAACCTGGACAACTGCCTCCGGCTGTGGGACTACGTGGCGGGCAGCGTCAAGAAGACGTATCAGGGGCACGCGAATGCCAAGTTTGCGGTGGGCGGGTGCTTTGGCGTGCTGGACGGGGCGCCGTTTGTCGCGTCGGCGAGCGAGGACGGCGGCATCGTGCTCTGGGACGTGGTCAGCAAGGAGGTGCTGCAGCGGGTACGGGGCCACGCCGAGGGCGTCTGCTTCTGGGTCGACGTGCACGGCGAGACCATGGTGAGCGCGGGACAGGACGGCACGATACGCGTCTACCGGCACATCGCGGAAGGCAGGCTTGCGGGTGATGGTGATGCCAACGGCAACGGCAACGGCAACGGCAACGGCAACGGCGTGGCGGTGAATGGCAATCATGGAGCGCTGGCGGCGAATGGGGAAGGGTATCCGGAGGCGTTGCCCATCAGGCAAGAGGACGTCAAGATGCAGATGTAACGAGCCTACGAATTTCTATTTAGATGACTTAATCGGCGCGCATTGGGAGGTACTTGTTGTTTTCACTCATTAATGGCAACTTAAAGATTCAGAGTTGAGACGTTTACGGTTCAGGCAACCGATGATGGACCAAATCTTCTATTCGTGGGCCCAATATGAGAGAAGAAACGGCGACATGTTTCGTCTCCTAGTTACAGAGGATCGTGGGCGATTCAATGGGCACAATGGGGAACCAGGCAGGGGAAGGCAGCAAACGTGGCCTTGTTCAGCCATGGATCTGCGCAACGCGAGGTAATAGGATTTCGAGTCGAGGCGGGGACCGAGTTGCATGAAATAAAAAATTCAAGCAGCCAAGAGTGCATCGACAGTCCCGCATAAAGATTCTGCGCATGTTCTTTTTTCGCTCTTTGTTTTCAGGTCGTTTCACTCCGTATTCTTCTACTGAGTACAGAGTATACCAGTACGGATAGTACCAGGATAGTACCAGGATAGGTTGATCGCAGGCAGATTTGGTGGTGAGTCAGGCGGGGATTGTGCTTCCCAGAATAGCAATCTGCTGTCTCAGTGCCCCATTCCAAAGAGGTGTTGGGCCAGGGCAGCAGTTGCGCTAGATACTTTTGAACAGAGATTGCTTCGCATGTGGGCAGTAATATTATGATATAACTACTTGATAGATTAATACGAGCATAAATAGTGGCATCAAGAGACGGGCCTTGGCGGCCGACTCATGCAGGGGCAGTCGCGACAGCAAGGAATCGGAAATCACAGGGACAAGTTGAGATTTCGCCATTGGTGTCACGACTCAGGCAAGGGTCTAGACGCAGACCCCTGGTTGAAGAAGCTGGTCGCGCCAGGGAGGGGAGGAATGAGATGACGAAACAATAAAAAGACGAAAAAAGGATAAGTAAAGGCGCAATTTCTGAGGCAATTCTGGAGGAGTAGTTGGAAGTGAATCTAGATGAGATTTTGGTCTGAATGAACACAATAGTATTCGGAGTGGCTCGAAAGACCACAACGTTGTTGAAAAAATTCATATTGGCTAATAAATGAGGAGATCAGGCAGCCAATGGTTCGCTGTCTGAAACGCGCAAGTTTTACAGGGCAGAAGCCGGCGACTTGCGGGATGAATCATTTTATGCAACTGCCGTCATGACTTGCTGGACTTGGCCAGACAAAAATCACCTCTTCAGCCTTGCCGCTGCAAACAATGCAACCATGGCGCTCACTTTGCTTTGCTCATACCTGTGCGCAGCCTGTTATTTAGTACACCCCAATCGAGTCAATTGAAGCGCTCCGAGGACGAGGCTAGTTGATACCTCTCCACCCACGATGGCCATGACTCCATGAGAAGGAAAAGGCGTCTTGCTGCCTTTTTTATTTATTAGCACTCATCCTTTTTTTGGTGCCAACCCCCTCCCTGGTCAAAGGGGCATTGTTGACGGTGTTGACAGATGCCAGAAAGCATGATTGGATGGTTTTGCTCGGACAGTCTCCGCTTTAAACGCCACGGCTGGTGAAGGCACTTCGGCTGACCACTAAAGGGTCATTTGTACCTGCAGCGCCACGGGGCGAGAGCCCCTCACCTCCCGAACATTAGCGTAGACTAACAAATTAATAAACGGTTGGGGGACAAAAAAAAAAAAAGACGGACAAAGTCAACTAGCTCATCCTGATTTGAAACCTTTCAAACATTGATCGTGGGAATGCCACTGACGAGCACCAGTTCATCGTCGTCGCTTTTTTTCCTGCGACTGACATGTCAACTTTATCTCAGCCGTTGGGCTGTCCGTGATCCCTGCATCAGGTGGATCTGGCGGGGCTCTTTTGATTTTCTGCAGCTCTGCAGAAAGAGTGGGCACTTGCCCGGCTCCATTATCCAATGGCTCCAAGGGCTCCCCTCTAATAGGTAAATGGCTTTCATGCCACGGATCGTGGAATGCATCCTCTTGCTCTCTGGGGCTCGTCGCCATGAACTGCCAGGTGTTGCTCACCTGCCAGCCTGCAGCTGTTGGCGCCCCGCTAGCAGGCATCTTACCACCCCCATTACTCAACCAGCCCCCGGCCGGCAGCCTGCCTGCCTGCGTGGCTCGCTTTTTGGTTTTTAATACCATTCCCTTCTTGTCGCCGCCTTTCTTACATCTTTCTTCTTTTCTTCTTTCACCCTCCCACACGCTCACTCATTCTGCCCTAGGTCTCGGTTTACATACCACGGTTCTTCCAACCACAGTCACTCTTTATAAAACCGTTCGACACTCAATTCTCACAACCTCGCTCATTCCAACCCTCCCACCCTACCTGACCTGATTACTCACTCAAGATGCGCTTCACCATTGCCACCGTCCTGGCTTTTGCCGCCTCTGCCGTCGCCGTCGGCGTCGATGCCACCGAGGGCTTTGACAGAATCGACACCCCAAACAAGGACGAGCAGCTTACTGCCGGCAAGCCCTACGTTGTCAAGTGGGATAACCCTGCTCCCTACACCGAGGGCCCCGTCTACATCCAGCTCCTCGGCGGCAATGATCCCAACACTCTGACTGTCAAGTCTGAGAGACTTGCTAGTACGCCTTCCCCAGACAGTTGCCATCATCCACACCATGTGCGTCGCTAACTTGCATCCCCAGCCATCGACAACAAGGACAAGGAGTACACCTGGAACGTCGACGCCTCCCTCGGCGATGACGCCACCTACGGCCTCCGCTTCGTCTGGGAGAAGGACGACAATGTTGTTCAGTACTCCAAGCCCTTCCACATCAAGAAGGGCGACAGCGCCGGCTCCTCCACTGTCACCCAGACCTCGTCCCAGGGCGTCAAGACCGTCACTCTCAGCTCCGCCAGCACCAGCTCTTCTGCCAGCCCTTCTACCAGCTCTGACAGCTCTACCACCATTACCAGCAGCGCCAGCAGCACCAGCAGCATTACCAGCTCTACCACCGAGGTCGCAAACACCACCACCTCGAGCTTCATCACCTCGAGCTTCACCACCTCGACTGCTCGCGCCAACACCACCAGCGCCAACTCCACCCACACTTCCACCCTCGGCTCCAACACTGGCAGCATCTCTACGACTACCCCTGCCACCCGGCCCTCCAGCGGTGCCGCTCACGCTTACGGCTCCATTGCCGTTATTGGTGGTATCGTCGCCGCTCTGCTTACCCTGTAAAGGGGACTAGACTCATCTTGTCATGACTATAATGTGATGTCTGTTCTTCTTCATCTTGAGTTTGCGTCATCTTGCTTCGGTACATAGAGGGCATGGGCTTCTTGCCTTGGCCAGTCTTGCTTTCTTCTCCTTTTTTTTTTTTTGCCAAATGATTCCACCTCTGGCTTTACCCTGCACATACGGCATCTAATCAATCTTTTGGTCTTGAAAATACAATAATATTGAGGAAAAGGTAGTAAGAGCTGGGTAGAACTCGCAGCCGGCAGCTCGTCCCGTGTCGCGACGTTGCTGTCCATGAATGCCGCGTCGTCTCACCTCGAGACAGATTTCATGTCGACTTAATTTACGCCACAACTTAATGTAATTGTACATTTCTTCCATTGCTATTTTTTCTGTTCGTGATAATTCTTAAATACGTGCATACGACGGACCATCTACAATGACCAGAGCACATGCATGCCCCCACCCTACTATTTATTGACAGCTGTTCCGAGTTCCCGATACCGCTTTCTTCATGCCAAGCGCGTTTGAGTCAATCTTCGGCAATCACGCTGGAATGTGAGACATGGATTCACCAGCCCGGACCAACAGATTGGCGATAATCGATTATTATTGGCGCGTCTGCACGTGGTGCAGTACTAAATGCGTGCCACTTCGCAAGTAGGCTCTCTAGTCAAACGAAAAAAAAGAAAGAATTCATCCCCCCCAGATAAACAGCGACAGAGTTTCTCAGAAGGCCGAACTGCGGGAATTGGCTCATATGACGTAAGCGGAGGCAAGCAAGGGAGCATTGTTTACAAAGTCTGGAATGTCAGTATTCTGGGTGCCTGGGATTGCCGCCGCACTACCCAGTGGTCAGATGGAGCGTGGCCTCGTTGGAATTCGAGTCTTTCGAAAACGGCAGAACCTTGAAACAGCCGCGACATGATGATATCATGCACTTGCCTGCGCGAGCTACGGCTACTCGGAAGCATCATCATGGTAGTATGTACTTGCCGCGCCAGCTACAGATACTTGGCGATGGAGGCATCATCTACGCGGACCTCTCTCATCTTCAGCATAGATTCATGATCTGCCGCAGGCAAACTTCAACAGGATGCAAAAAGATATTTTATTCTTCAAATTCAGGCTCAATTATTACTTTTCATGATTCTCATTACCGAATAGCACCAACACCCGCTCAACGTCCTCCTACCTGCCCCTTGGGCAGCGGCGCGATCCAGCACACCGCTAGATTGAGCGCAATGTGCATGACGCCAATCACCCAGAGCGCCTTGGCGTAGCCCTTTCCGTGGTCCATGAACCGAAACACAATGGCAAAGATGACGCCGCCGAGGTTGCCGCCCGCGCCGGTGACGCCCGAGACGACGCCGTTGGCCGCCGGGTGGACGTGCGGCACGAGCGCAAAGTTGGCGCCGTTGCCGGCCTCGACGAAGATGGCCATGACGGTAACGAGGCCAACGAGCGCGCCGAGCGGCATGCCGCTCCCCTCGGAGGGGTTCACGCGGCCGATGACTATGAGCAGCCCGCCGCCGAGCAGGCCGCAGGCCGTGATCCAGGCCTTTTTGAGCCACAGATTGCGGCCGCCCCGCCGGTAGAGCACGTCGGCGACGACGCCCCCGAGAGGCCGCGTGATGACGTTCAGGAAGCCAAAGATGGCGGCGCAGTTGCTGGCCGTCGTTTGGGTGAGGTGCGGGTAATTGTGCTTGTAGTAGGAGGAGAGGACCGAGTTGATGGCGAGCTCGCCGCCAAAGGAACATGCGTATGTGACGACGTGGAAAATGGTCTGTGGAGAGAGGAGAATGGCCAACGAGTCCCTGAGGAGTGGCTTCATGACGACTTCGCCCTGCGCAATGTCGAGGGCCTGCTGATGCGAGAGGCCCGCTCCGGCGTCGGCCGGCATCTTTGCGCCGGCTTTTTCCTCATCCGACGATGCGTACGTCTCGGTTTTCGGTGTCTCAAGGCCCGTATCGGTGCTACCCTCGCGCATCTGCAGCGCGCGTAGGTTCTCGCGGATGCGCTCGTCGCGTTCGCTCCACCTCCCGAGGGGCGCGTCCGGACACAGCAGCGCCATGCCCAGCGCGCACGCCATCAGACAGACCAGCGGAACCACAAACGTGACGCGCCAGGCCGTCGACGGGCTCAAGCCCTGCCGCGAGACGAGCGAGTCAAAGACGGCCGGCATGATGAAGTAGGTGATGCCGCCGCCGGCGTTGCCCCAGCCGCCGGCGAGGGCGTTTGCGCTGCCGACGACGTTCTTGTCGAAGAAGCCGGTGCACCAGACCTGGCAGGGGACAAAGGTGGCGCCAAGCACGCCGAGGAAGAAGCGCGCGGCGTAGAGGCCCGAGGCGGTGCGGACGAGCGGGGCGAGCCCGACGGGGAGGCACCCGGCGAGGAGCAGGCCGAGGAAGACGCGGCGCGCGCCGAACTGGTCACACAGTGGGCCGGTGGCGAACCGGAGGAGGAGGGTGGCGACTAGGGAGATGATGTTGGAGTTGGCGACTTGCGCATCGGTCAGGTGCAGGTCCTTTTTGATTGTGACGGTCAGAAGCGGCGGGAACGTATACCTACGAGAGGAGGGTGGTATGTTAGAGGGAGAGACGTTTCCCGAGATGTCGGAGGAGGGAAAAGGGCCAGTTTTGAACGTACCAGGCCCAGAAGGCGAGCATGAAACCCATCCAGGAAAAGAAAAAGACGCGTCCGTACATGTCGAAGGGGTTGAGTACGGGGATGCTGCGTGCCTTTTTGCTCACGGGACACACCTCGGGCGCGGCCCAGAGGGCCGAGAATCTGAATCGAGGCATTGCAAAAATACAAAAGGTAATTTGCTATGATCTGCTATAATTTGCTATAACACAAGCTTGATTCTGGGTTGCAGAGACATGAGTGGAAAACACAATTGGCGAGTTCTCGTCTTGTATTATACTCGATACACGGACTGGGAAGGGGTGTCTGATAACAAACAGTTGACTGCATCGCTTGCAGCCCCCGAACCATTCCGCATGGCGCCAAGGATCGATAGTAAAAGCACGCTGTAGACGAGTAGGGAGCGTTGTCGAGGCTAGTCTATCGGTTGCTAGATGGCGCAGCCGAGATGGCTGTTATCTGGTCTGGGCTGTTGGGCAGCCGGGGTCTGGCCGAAGCCTTGCTATCGGGGTTTCAGACAGGTATCTGCGATGCACGTATGAGAACGGCCTAAACTCCTTATCAAAGAAGCATGGGGAAGTTGTGCCGCCTAGTTCAGACAAACTCTGGGGTGGATTTGCTGTGCTGAATGTGGTGCTTGTTCCAGAGTCTCCATGACCTCGAGGCCCGGTCATTGTCCAAAGGCTTCAGTAATGGCTTGTTCGTATCGTCAATACTGGTCAACCGATTACTGTCCAGAAAGAAGACTGCTCACATGGCAGCCATCTCGTCACTAAACGGACTGGTCCGCCTGCCATTCAGGGCAAGTCTCGGCTTAGCTCACAGCTGCTCCTTCCCAGGAGAACGAGCAGCAGAGCCTCTCTGACCCCGGACCTGCTCCAGACGAAATACAGCCCGTCTCATTGGACCAAACCCCAGGCCGCGATAAAGATCTTGTTAGTGTCGCGCCTGAGACGGACGGCACGGCCGTTGTTGATAGCACCGCCGGCTTATCAACGTTTGGGCCCACCACCTCGACGGCAAACGCCACTAGGGATGATAAGGGGTCGGCGAGGAGGTATAAAGGCAGAGCTGAGCCGATCAGTCGAAGCTCTGTTTTCTATCTCTGAAATGTCATCTCCGCGGAGCGCTCTAGACGGGAGAGCAGCGTGGCCGGTCAGGGCCACATGCTTGCGATGGCAACGACAACCGAGACTGATGAGCATGTGGTCGAGCTTTTGATAACAGAATGCGCCTTTAGATATGGGCATGACGCTGCATCGACCACTGACATGCCGTGTTCAACAGACTCGTTTGATTTGGATGGCTCAGAGTTTTCGGCTTATCACGAAGTTGTCGGAACCGCCACATGTCGAACTGGTAAAAATAGTCACCACATGAGGCGCAAGAAGCAGCCAAAGTCTCGCTTCCAGCTACGTCACATGGGCGAGCGAATAAATCGGTGCGCAGTCGTAATCGTTTGATTTCTTGCAAAATTTTGCAATACTGTTGGAATAATGGTCTGACGAGCGATGCGACCACAACTTCACACTTTTGTAATTGCTGCCCTCCGATTCGGCACCCCGAGGCAACGAACGGCTGGTCGGGGCCGGTAGTGGGCTTATTAGCATCAAGGCATGGCAGATCCAGTGGGTACTACAGGTGCTCAAAACGGACAGCACCCGCGACAGCCCGTCGCAGTCTACCTACTTAATGCATTGTAAAATTTGGAGGCTTTGCTTATATATCATGCCAAAATGATGAGGCAATCTGCCTCCCCCCTTTCTATTTCCCTAATTACTCGCATGTCCTACGCAGCCCTGCAGGGGGCCTTACCTAAGTATGGGTGTCACGGTGTGTACATGATGGCCGCGTTGAGGCTAGGCCGAAAGTGGTAGGAGGGGCAAGCCGTCCCCTGGCAACTCTGAAAGCGGCTCAATTTTTTTTATTGCGCAACTTGGTGATGCTGCCCCTCCATCTGCTAGGAGGAAGCACGATTCTTCGCGACTTTGGCCTTTTTTTTTGGCGCTTTTTTCTATAGTTTGCTCTGCTATTGGAATTGACGGATCGCACCTCGGCATAGGTAGATTTGCCTTTCCAGAATTATATACGAACTATCACGAAGCGACAACGAAAACGTTCAGGATGGCTGCCCAGACGACACCCAAGACCTGCAGGGTCATTACCGCCGAGACAATCTCCAAGGGTTACCTGCAAGAGGTCAAGGACACGCTTGCCAAGGTGCTCGGCGACAGCAACCGCAAGCCTACGCTCGCGGCTTTCCTCGCCAATGATGACCCAGCCGCCATCAAGTACGCCGAATGGTCCAAGAAGACTTGCGAAGAAAAGTGAGTCACAATGGCCGATTGACTTGCACTGCTTGGCAGTATTCTGACATATTTGTTTTCTCCTTGAAGTGACTTTGCCTTTGACCTGCGCACCGTCGACAAGGATCTTCTCGAGGAGGAGATCATCAAGGCCAACGATGAGGACGACGTCGACGGCATCATTGTCTACTACCCCATCTTTCAGCAGAACCCGACGCACGACAAGTACGTGCAGGAGACGGTCGATCTCGGCAAGGACGTCGAGGGTCTGCGCCACAAGCATCTGCAAAACATGTACCACAACGTGCGCTTCATCGACGCGCCGGCCAATACGAAAAAGTCGATTCTGCCGTGCACGCCACTCGCCGTGGTAAAGATCCTCGAGTACCTGCAAATCTACAACCCGATCCTGGCGACCGGCAACCGACTGTTTGGCAAGACCATCACCGTCATCAACCGCAGCGAGGTCAACGGGCGGCCGCTGGCCGCGCTGCTGGCCAATGACGGCGCAACCGTCTACTCGGTCGACGTGACCGGCGTGCAGCTCTTCACGCGCGGGCAGGGCATCAAGAACCCGCGCCACCGCGTCGAGGACAAGGAGGGCTGGGGCCTCGCGCAGTGCCTGCCGCTAAGTGACGTGGTCATTGGCGGCGTGCCCGTCGAGTCGTTCAAGGTGCCGACGGAGCTGCTCCGCGAGGGCGCCGTGTGCATCAACTTTTCGTCGTACAAGAACTTTGACGGCCCGGCCGTCAAGGAAAAGGCGTCCATTTACGTGCCGTCGGTCGGCAAGGTGACGATTGCGATTTTGCTGCGCAACCTCGTCGTGAGTAGATTGCTATTCGGAATTGTTGGAAATTGAGTAGCTAACAGTCTATCGCAGCGTCTCATCGCCAACCGTCCTCCCAAGAACTCTGACGAGGGCCTGGTGCAGGCCAGACACGACGCCTTTATGGATGATTAAATCAGGATACCTTGATGGTGATGGAAAACTGAGTTCTCGGGGATGATGAGGTCTATGACCATCATTGCATAATGGGGAATGCGAACGGAGTAGAGCGAGTAGCAAAAAAAAAAATTAGAGCATATATTAGACAGGGCAGCACAATTCACTGTTGCCCGCAACTACATTTTGATACCTGTTGGAATTGCGTTTATTCTGTGCCGAGAAGGGCAAAACTAAAGTACGGCAGCTCACTTGACACTGTGATTGCGTAGGCAACGCGAATCAAAGTTTCATTCGCTTAAGTATGTGGCAATTTTTCTCTCCCCATGTGCGGAACATGGGTGTACCGCGAAACACATCGGATAGCGATGTGGCGTCCGAGTTTGAAACTCGCTGCAGATTCGGGATGTAGGTGGCGTGGCAAGATACGAAGCGACGTATCTGAACTGATTCGGTATAAGGGACGAATGAACAAGGGCAGGTTGTAGGTTGTACAAGATACATTCACGGCAATTGTGGCCACGGTTCAGTCTGTGTTGGGGTCAGATGCAGAATTTTGAATAACGGTACATGCAGTCGTCTGTTGCGCCAGGGAGGGTGTACTGGATTGGGCATACTTGCATTAATGGTACAATATAACGAAAAAAGAAAAAAAGAGGAAAAGCGAATCACGATCTGAAGCTGACTGCGCCGAGCAGCGACTTGCTGCTGCGATTCACAGGTCAGATCAATGCTTATTAAATGCTCGGGATGGGGTTAAAAAGTTGCGAGTACTTGATGTTTATTGATCGAGGAACGAAGTGTGGAGGACAGTTTACCTGTGGGTTAGGGTGCGACCGCGTGCAATCACAAGTACCAACCTGATGAGGACTGAGGCGTGACAGAAGTATCCGGTACTCGTTGACCCAGCCCTGGCCACTCAAGCCTCGCGTTCCCCTGCCGCCCAGCGTCCCCTGCTAATGAGTTGTCCAGGATCCCTGCTCACCTGAATTAATACGTGTCAATAATTACCGTAATGGTCTGCAGAAAATAACGAGAGTGTTGACTGGTATTATGTACTTGGTAAATACCTAGTCCCGAGTGCGCAGCGCAGCGCAAAAAGGCGTTCGTGCTGGATTGGCAGTGATTGCCCCCTGAATGGGCCGCTGCTCACTTCGCGAAGATCCAACACCCTCCTCTCATGGTGCTCTCGAAGGTACCTAGGTACCTGAGGTAGGTACACACGAAACCATCTCGGTTCCCCCCAGACTTGCATCGCGACGCCAACGCTTTTCATCCCAAGAATGCATTTGCCACTTTAAATAAGTATTACTTTTATAGCTCAATACTAGGACTGGGTCGATTTTCCGCCCAATCACACGTCACTGGCTTGGACCGGGGTGCTGGGCGCCACTGCAGAGGACTCGCTGGGAACAGCCTGGCTCCCGTTGAACCACCTCATCCGCCCCCTGGGCTGCGATACGGATATACCATCATTCCTCTGCCACCACGGCATCCGCGGCTGGCTCTGCTCAGCCGTTTCTTGTGCCACTGTCTTGTTCGCTCTTCGCTCATGACCGATGGTGTGGTGCAACTGACCTCTTGCGCACGGGGGCACGAGTCAAATCTGAGTTTGCGTCTGTGTCCGCCCCCTCTACTACCAGGTAGAGTTGGACGAGCGAGCCTCAACCACGCTGTCTCTCGTTCGCTCACACTAGCCCACCGCAGCAAACACGCTACCTTGTTTTCCCGCGAGCCACGGATACAAAGAAAACTCATCATCCGGGCCCCAGCATCACCTCCGTACTCGAAGCATACAAGTGTCGCGCATACTCATTGGGCTATCATCTTGCTGTCCGAGGCTCTGAGCCGACTCTCAGCATTGCCGTGCTTGTCGCCTGTGTCCGCCGTCGCCGCCGCCGTCCTGCCGCTGCCGCTGCCGCTGCCGAGTCCACAATGGCCACGACGCCCACTGGTGCGCCTGCACGTCGTCATGCAAGGCAAGACTCTAATGGAAGCATCCCGCCCTTGCGGCCCCAGGCCTCCTCGCCTACTTTGACCAACCCCGACATGATCCTGCCCGACTACGACGAGTCGCAATATTCAAGCCTGCAACATCCATCCGTCGGCTGGGGCAGCATGCCGCTCGACGCTGATCTGATGTTTGACTTTCCGGAGGCCGTCGACTCGTCGGCCGTCTATCCTCTCAACACCCCCATCATCTACGGCAACGGCACCATGCTCTCTGACATTGGCGAAGTCACCGAGGTCGAGAGCAACGTCGGCGGCCCGACGCGCCAGCTCTCCGCCCGCTCCAACCGTTCCCGTCGCTCCAACCACTCCGACGACAACCTCACCCCCAGGACTTCTCCACCGGCAAATGCTGCCCGCAAACAGACACTCCGTCGCGCACCAGACGCCAATGCCCAAGACAATCGCTCGTCAATTGACTCGGTGCATACCATCTCGACCCATCACGATGTCGCCTTTGCCGATTTCGACGACACCATCAGCGTCGGCGATAGTAATTTTCAAGGCGATGACGAGGACAGCGTCGCTTCTTCCTACCTCGATGAGCACACGCTGCCGCGCGATGCACTGGCGCGCAAATCTGGCCTGTCACTTAACAAAGACAGATACTCGACATCTTCCATCAGCCGAAGAGCCGAGCAGATCCTCGCCAATGCCAAGCGCAGGTTGACGGTAAGCTGGCCCCAATGCCATGCATAGTATTAGCCGCATACTAATGAGAGCCAATAGACAATGGAAGGCAATTTATCTAGAGCGCGAACTCTCAGCTACTCCTCAGTTTCCGATGGTTCCACGCCCTCTCCGATCCGGACGCCCAATTCGCCGGCATTTAGAGTGCCGGTGCATGCACGCAACATTAGCGACAACAACATCGCCACCCCGGATCAAAATGCCATGCCTCCCAGATCTGCCAGTGCCCTCGGTGCGGCTGGAGGATATCGCCGACCTCTTCCGCTATCGCGCAGCGCTGACGCTATCACCCGCGCAAACCATGGCATCTCTCAACATCCGCTCGACCTTGCACTCGAGCCGCTCCGCGAAGATGACGGCGCGCAGGATGAAGACAGCTCAGACAGCACGCAAGTGGCCAGATATGCCAGCCCGACATTCAATGGCTACGGCGACGGAGGCATAGTGCGCTCTGCTTCGGCAGCTCAAATGCGTGGAATCCAGGACCAGATGAATGGCCTCAAAGGCAAAATCTATAGTCTGAGGGAGCAGGCTGCCGCCGACAGTATGAAACGAAGGAGTCTGCAGAGCTTGCGCTCGCCGAGTCTCTTCACCAACGCCAGAGTCGATGTTCAAGACTCGGATTACCAAGCAGCGCAGGCCCAAGGTCCGGAGTCGCCATCTCTTGGCAGCCCGTTTCGTCCCGAATTCGCCAAGGAAGACGACAAGTCACCACCTGCGCCAGATGAACAGAGCACACCGCCGGGGAAGAGGGCGGATCGCGATCTCGTTGTCGCGCGATCCAGCCCTATGCAAAACCTCCATCAAGCATATTTGCAGGATGAGAATACTCCGCCTAAGACCAAAGCGGCGGCGGCCAAACAAAAGTTTGACAAGCTTGAACAGTCTGGTTACGCAGATGACAATGATGACCTCCATACCGAAAATGGAGATGCTGAAGAATCGGCCGAGGACTCTACCATGGAACCTGCTGAAGAAAGGGCCGTTGAGGACTTGGCCGCCGACACTGCTAGCGAAAGTGGCGACTCTCTATACCACGAGGCCTATCAGCATCCCGTGTCTCACGAAGATAGAGAAGACGCATTCGACTACGAACACTTTTTCCTACACTCGGCCATGGGCCATGTTAGCAGACAGAGCTATCGCAACCCCAGTGACGATTCTGGCAGCGAATGCTCAGAGGACTCTGTGGAGACGACAAGGGCTGCCCCCACGACGGCTTTCGGGCGCCCTCGACGACCTAGTCTGGATACTATGACGTCCGTCGATAGCTTCGCAACGGCACGAGAAGGTGCCGACAGCCGCGCTTCTACCGTCGACACGCTAGAAGATGGCTACGAGTCTCCGATCATTGGCATCGGCCAACTGCGTAGTCAAACGAATAAGCGTAGCAGCAGCGAAGATTCACGTTCCTCAAAGGAGCAACACAGCCATCGCAATGCATTTCAATATCGACCGGCCACCATGGCACCCGCTGCTGTTTGTTATTCTCAACGGCTCGGCCTGCACCGTCCATCGGTATCTTCTTTTGAATCTATCGGTACAAATCGAAGCTTTCCTCTTATTAACAAGTCACGGCTGAGCGGCAACACGACTCCGAGGGATTCTCCGGAGAATATGATCCACGGCATGCGCAGTCCCCCACAGAGTCGACGAAGCAGCATGAATGAACATGTATTGGCTACGATGTCGAATTTGTCAAGTGCTGGCTCCGCGAATGGTTCCTTCAATGGATCTGCGAATGGATCAGTTGCCGATTCTGTTAGTGGCCCATCTAGCGGTTCTGTCGGCTCTGTCGGCTCTGCCAATGGCTCTACCCGTGGACTTGCTCATGGGTACTCTGGCTCCACGAACGGCGGGACTGTCAATGGGTCCCATGCTGTCGCACCGCCGTCGCCCACGATGCAGCCTTTGACTGGCGAGGATCAAGCATCCATTGATCTATTGTTGGCGAGCATCCAGAAGTGTGCCATGGGATTACGCGACACGACGCCTTCGGGCTTCAAAATGCACGATACATATCGACGGAGACTGGAAGCTGCCCGACAAATTCTCGACGGCGCCCCAGACTCTTTCTAAACTACAAAAATTTGCGACACGACAAAACGGCGCAGGGAAAAACGAAAAGTTGGGGTTGCCTGGGTTACATTAATTAATGCCCGAAACGACACTGATTGCTACTATTATACGGAGTTGCGGAATGGCTTGTATATTTCAACATCCGGTCTACTTTGTTCTTTCATCATCCACTTGATTCCCATTCACTCATTTTCTTCTCTTGTACACTGGTCGCGACACAGCGACGTTACTGGCATCTTGTTGTATTTATTATATGGGGAACAACAGCGGGATGGTGGTCATTCTTTGGACAGAAGACCACTCATTAGTTTTCTTTTTAGAAAAAATAGTAATGAGCTTGTATTTCCTTGAATCGCGTGTATTTCACCACGCAAGGTACGCTCATGACGTGATTGCTTGTGTCATGGCTATGAAAGGCCATCACATGCCAAATGTGTCCAAGCGCTCGTAGCAGCAGTAGACAGTAATTCACGTCTTAGATACGTTGGAGAAGAATTAGAAACTCTAGTATAGGAATGATCTAGACAGCATAAGTTTTTTCTTGTCTTTTCTGTAACACGACGTGTGCAGTCACCAGTCACCGACACGGCCGCTGGGTACGTACGGGCTTGATTGCTTCGTCGCGGCGCCTCTCAGAAGCCATCAAGCGGGCAAGGCGGTGTGTGGGTCCTGCACGCTCCGCGGCCGCGTTCAGCTGGGTTCAAACGACACGTTTTTTTGGTGCCGCCTCTTGACGTGAACTTGCCCTCTGTCAAAGAAGCAGACCAATAATACATAATCAAGAAAGTGACCCCGACGATTGTTTCGCGTCGCGTTACTTGATTCTTTGACACAGTCCTCGCGTTTTCAAAAGACGGGCGTGCTTCACTCAACCCTTTTGACGCACGGTGTATCCCTAGTCTTTTTCTCTGCAAAGAGAATCACAAAACCTGCGACACAACACTACGCTGGCGAGAATCCTCTCATTGCGCGCAACGAAGCTACGCGATAAAACGAACCCTTTCGACTCTTCTTACCTCTTACCGACTTGAGACGAAACAACAACAACAAACCCACCCCCAACAAAGGGACAAGACATGGACATAACAGCGACGCTCTCGCACCTCGTCACCTCGCTGCTGCCGGCCGACAAGGCGGCGCTCGTGCACCACCACGTGCTGCGCGCCGACGCGCCGCTGCAAGTCTACTTTTCCGCGGCGCGAGCCTCTGCGCTGTCGGGCGCGGGCGCGGCGTACCCGTACGTGGCGCCGCTGGCGGAGCGGGCGCTGGCGTGGACGCACGCGTCGGAGCTGGGCGGTGTGCTGGTGCCGCTGGCGATTCTGGCGGCGGCGGTGCTGGTGATGAACTGGATCCGGAGGGTGCTGATGTGGTGGGCGCGGCTGGCGCTGCGGGCAGTGCTGTGGGCGGCACTGGCGGCGCTGGCGGCGTGGGTGTGGTCGCGCGGCTTGCAGGCGAGCGTGCGGGACGTGGTTGTGCTGGGGGGCCGCGCGAGCGGCTACGCGGCGCTGGTAAAGGAGATTTGGTGGAGAGAGTATAGGAGGTACGAGGAGCAGCAGAATATGGGCAGAGGGGAGCGTCGGTGAGGGCAAGAGAAGGGAGGAGGAGGAGGAGGAGGAGGAGG